TGGCACCCGACAATGCATGTGGGTTTTGGGTTGCAGTTTGGACACACGGTCTCTAAAAGCTTCGCCATCACTGGCGTAAGCAGTTCTGTTTAGCCTTTGACTTAAGGCAGGTTGTTTAGCGCCCATTCAATTTTTGAGAAACTCCCAAGGTACTTATGACCTGGTTCCAAAGTTCCAATGGCTGCTGCCCCCTGGTCACATGACTACATTTTAGGCACTCAACAACCAGGCTACACTGATACACGGTCACATGGCCATGATTTATGACGTTTTTGCCAAAAATAGGCATTTATTTTTGTTTCAGCAAAAACACCCCACAATGGGTTTGTTTAACAACTACCGCAAAAAAAAGGTGGTAAAATTGGGTTGGTCACACGATGACCTGCTTTACAACCATAATTTGCATGACCTCCATCTCATGTCTGCTGACTCCTTAAAAGATTGGAAAATCCCATTTTTCACCATTTTACTGTAATCATATTGCCTTAAGCTTTCCTTATAGGAAGGTGCTTTGTGTTTCCAGTCATGACTCCCCTCCATTTCACATTCTTTAATGATACATAGCCATACATAAAATTATACCATGCATTTTTATTAAAACTTTATAGCAGTATTTCTTCTCTCCATCCTCATTTGTACATAAAACATCTGATGCTTTTCATGTCCCCTTTTTATGATTTCATCTTTCCCTTGTTTTGTATATACAGTAAAAGCAATGTAAGAATGTATTTATAATCCTCATTTCAGAATTGTTTCCTAATGCTATATAATACTTTTATGCATCCATAAAATGAGTTAACATTTTTATAGAATTGGAACAGGGTTGAGTCTCAAGTATAAATTATTATAGTGTTTGCTATTTAGCCTTAACCAAGACCAGAAAATGGACAAATACCGTATCCCTGGAGGAAAGGGCAAATCACTTCCCAATTTGTGCCAAGAAACTATGGACACATTCAAAAAGGTCATCAGTGTCGATGTTTTTATTCTTTGTTTTATGTCTCAGATTATCCAGTGTCCTTAGTTTGTGGATAGTCAACCGAGCAGTGAGAGCCTCAATGGCTCTAGCAAAAAAAAACCTTAATTAAAGTGTAACGATGAAGTAGCTAGCATCTTTTATCTCATCACTCTCAAAGGGATACAGGGCCTTGATCCAGCACATAAAATATGGCCTTTTAAATGAAGTGTTAGTGCCCTCCAGTGGCCTATCTTGGAAACAATTATTAATTACATTAAATTGTAACAAACGTTTTGATGTGGCAAGTTCTTGGCAACACAGTGTCACAAGAAGGAAATGCTGATGAAAGAAATAATATTGCAATGTAAATACAATTAATTTTTTTATTACTTAAATTTTTTTTCAACTCAGTTTTTGGACCTTGATGACACATGCATGTGACTTTCTTGGATTCTAATAGGTTAGGATTTATTTTGTAAAAAAAACCAACAACTTCCTGATCTAACCTACAGCCCTGGCACTCCTTTAAAGTTTCCCCTCTGGGTAGTAACCAGGCCCAATCCTGTTAATGTTCAAACACAAATGAGGTCATCCTGGTGCTGCCATTCAAGTTTTTAGTTCCTCCCTGCATATTGCATATTAACATTATTCATCAATACCCTTCTCATTTTTCAGTAGAGGGAAAAATTAAAACCCCAATAAGCTCTTAACCATTGTTAAGGAATACAAAATGAATACAGATAGTCCTCAACTTACGACCACAATTGAGCCCACAATTTATGTTACTAAGCAAGAGTTAAGTGAGTTGCACCCCATTTTACAATCCTTTTTACTACAGCTGTTAAGTGAATCACTGCCATTGTTAAGTCAACCATGCAATTCTTAAGTGAATCTGGCTTCCCCATTGATTTTGCTTGTTGGAAGTCAGCTGGGAAGGCTATGAATGGTGATTACATGGGCCCAGGACACTGTAATTATCATAAATACATGCCAGTTGCCAAGAGCCCCCAAAGTTTGATCAGATAACCATGGGGATGCAACAGTTGTGTGAAAACTGTACACCCATAAGTCACTTTTTCATTGATGTTGTAACTTCAGTCACTAAACAAATGGTTGTAAGTGGAGGACTATCTGTACCAGTTTCAAAACTGCTTAAAAATCAGATTCTGTCATAATTACAGTATATTAATAATTATAAGATTATAAACTCTATAGAAACACTGACTAATCTTATTTGGCATAAGTATATGAAGAGTACCCATCTTCACAGTATAAAAAATGTAGTGCCTGACTCAAGTAGACCTATAAAGTAGAAAGTTTGCTGCATCTGTGTAAATTCGTGTTGTGACTGTTATTATGATGGTTGTTTTAATTTTGGCTGTTTGTATTGCTGTTCTTTTTAATTCTACCAGAATGGGTAGCTATAACAAATTTAAATAACAACAATATGCATATTCCTATTAGTGACATATAGGGCTGCTTATTATGTTTTAACTAAAAGACTGGGATAGCCTATGAAGATGGTTCAGGATGATGATAATGATGATGATCTCAGAGAGCAAGTAGTTTTTTAATAGATATATCATTATGTATTGAAAAACTATCTATTACCAAGTTTTTTCTGGGACTCAATTCAAAATGGAGAATAAAATTTCATATAGTTTAGGCTAAAGTTGTTTACGGGATTTGCCAATTATTAAGATCTTCAATTGATCCTATCATGGATATGTTTAATAGTAATTTCTAGTTGCTCTAATATTGTTCCTTTTACATTAATAGATCCCAATTTGAAAGTAAAATGTACTAGAAAACATTTTAAATAGGTAAATCAATTACTTAAGAAAATGGTGGGTTCCCGCATAGCTGAATGTAGTCAGAGGCTGAATAGTTTTCTAATGTATATTTTGTTTCCTGCAGTAAATAATGATAAAATTAGATAAATGTTCCTTTCCAATTCAGTGATTTGTGAAGCTTACATACACTAAAATAATCATTCTCAGCTATGTAATTCCTGTGTACTACACTGAACAACTATATCATCCAACCTGGCAAAAGAGAAAACTTACAATATAGGTAACAGACAGTTCTTATATTAAAAGCAAATTAACAGTTATTAAAAGAGATACTAAGAACATTAGCATATAACAGCCAGTAGATAAATCCTACACCTGTGAAACTTTTTGCCCTATAATGGTAGCGTCCATTGGGAACACCCCTCTAGGTGCTGCTGTCCTCTAAAATCCTGAACATGTTAAATACCAATCTTATTCCCTTGAGCTTGTTTTAAAACGGGTGTCAAACTGCCGGCCCACGGGCCAGACATGTCACATGGAAACCGCACCCACCCCATTGCCAGCAATGGCAAAACCAGCCCAATATGTTGTGCGACGTCACGTGACGTCACAAGTTTGACCTGCCTGTTTTAAAAGATAGCCTGGAAGATGCCTAAAAATCCTAGACAGAGTTAAGGTTAGGGTCATTGTTAAATAATCTGACATGCCTAATTTTCTACGATTATTTTTTTAATTATCTGCTACTTCTGAGCTTTTAAAAATTGTTGTAAGCCATCTGAACATTGTCATGGAAGAATATAAATATAATAATTTAATACTTATAATATTGTTTCACTAATTCATTTGGTAGAAACCAAATTCCTCTGGATTTAAAGTTAGTTCCATATAATCTATTCTGTTTTGACATATCAGTCATGCTCATACCACAAAATTAACATGCATCTGAGTAAAATACTGTACCTAATCTATTAGTTCTTTATGTACGCTCATTGCCAAGCTTCATCTTTAATTATCATACACAATTCTTAACGAATATGATTGCAATAGAACTACAATGTGCATATATAGACAAAGTTATATACTCATCCATACTATTAACATTCTCAAAGTACTTTTATAAAAGCAACTAACTTGTAGAAAATTTCTTGTACTTAGATTTTCATCCCTTCTTTCCTCCAGAAGTGTACATGGCTCTCCAATTTTTCCCAAACCGTGTGAGATAGAGCACACTGAAATCTGCTGATTCAAAGAATAAAGTTATTCTATGAGGGCAATGGGTGGTTTGAATAAATACTTCCAAGGAATTTTCTTGATCTGAATCTTACCAGCTCTAATCCAATACCTTCACTACTACATTAGAGTGGCTATGTAAAGAACAGGGATCTCTCTATGCCTTTGGGAGTCCTTTATCATTGTAATGTTTCCATCAGGTTTTGCATCATTATATAATAACTTGTACTTTGTTTTGCATATCTGGTTATTTGAATATTTAAGCCAATACTAAAACAGATTAATGCGCCATAGAGGAATGTGTCTTACAATGCACACTGCTTCTGCTAGGTTAATGAGACCCAAAACAGCACAAATTGTGTTAATCAGTTACACTGGAGGTGCCCAAATTCTTCAACTCATCAATTCCCTCATGAAGTTTCAGTTTGTTCCTTAATCCCTGAACATTATATGAAAATAATTTTAAAAATACTACTTTAATAGCACTACAAATATTATCAATCCCTTGGATAGTGCCACTGAACTTTGAAGGTTGGTATCGGTCACTTTGGGGAACCCCGAATTACACAAATATCTTTTATAAACACCACGTGAAAACTTTGAAATGTACACTTTGCTCTAAATTTGATCGCAATTTTAGAGAAAGTCGCATCAGGATATTTAGATACGGAAGCATCTAAATTGCCCCTTCCACCTGGCTTAGGCAATTGTCAACAGGTGTATGACCCCGCCTAGCCCTGCCCTGCTTTATTTTTCTCGAACCACTTCCCGCTTGACTCGCTTTGTCCAAACAAAAAAATTAATTCATTGCGGCTCCGCAAGATAAGAGGCAACTTAACCTGGCCTTGAGTCCTACTTTACACGTAAACATACACACGCACACCCCGCCCGCCACCTCCGCACGCTGCCGAGAAAGTTACAGAGTGTTCGCAAATAGATTGCGGGCTTTTATAGCGCCTTTACCCAGCAGCCTCCGCGCCGCCGCGGCCGATTGGCTGCTTGGCTGCCCAGGGGGTGGGAACGCGCACGTCGCGTTTTGTATGAAGCCGTGGACGCGCTTTCCTCCTCACCCGCCCCGCCGGTTTCTGTTCTTAGCTGCCGCCGGAGTTTGGGCCCGTGGACGGATAAGGAGGCGGCGCCGCCGGGGAGACGCAGGAGAGCCCCTCAGGTAGTGGGTGAACAGGGCTGCGGCGCTTCCCTCGCGCGGCGAGCGGCCTCCGTGAAAGAGAAACCCACAAGTGGAAGGGAGCGGAAGCTTGGCCGTCGGCGGCCGCTCCCAGTGCGGCCTGCCCCACCCGCCAGCAGCGGCCGCTCCGGGAGCCTCTTCCTCCTCCTCCTCCTCCCCCCTCCTCTCTTCCGGAGAGGCGGTTGGGGTAGGAAGCCCCCCCCCTCCCCGCCCTGGCACTGGCGCGCACGCTCCTTTGGGCGGGGGTGGAGAGCCAGCGATGGGGAGGGGGCGCCGAGGCTCCCTCGACTCTGTTGCTGGGCGAGGGCGGGGGGGGGGAGTGGAGCGGCTCACGTCTCTGTCGACTTCAGGGCGCGACGGGCTGCTGCTCCCCCTTTGGCGGAGTTAGTGGCCTGGAAGCGGCGGAAACAAAACGGTCTCTAGGTGGGCCTCGGTCCTATCAGGGCGTCCTCCTGCCCCCCCCCTTCTCCCCCGCCCCGGCTACTCCTCCTCCTCCGAATATGGGTAATTCTGTTCCTTCTTCGCGTGGAGAAGGGGCGGCGGGGGGGGGGATCCCTCCCACGTTCTTCGTCATATGTGTTAAAAAGTCAAATTAAGACGTTAAAAAACATGCGAAAGAAGTTACGTGCACTAGTTTTTCGACTTCACAGAAATCCTCGGGTTGCTTGGCGGCATCTCTTCTGCTGAATCTCTGCAGTAGGATTGTCATTAACAGCCCATTTGGTCCTAACGTTTGAAAGGAAGCTTTCTTTGCTTTCAGAAGCCTGTTTTTTGTTTTTTTGTGTAGATTTTTTGGAGTTAGTATTTCTAGGCCAGGGGTAGGCAACCTCGGCTCTTTTATGACTCATGGACTTCAACTCCCAGAATTCTTGAGTCAGCTCTGCTGACTCAGGAATTCTGGGAGTTGAAGTCCATGAGTCATAAAAGAGCCGAGGTTGCCTACCCCTGTTCTAGGCCTTCCTGGCTTCCTGCCCTTAAGAGCATCCCACTTGTATAATGCTGTTTTGAAGTCAGTGTTTGATATACTTACGAAATCAGTAGCTCAGCTCAATAACGTGAGAAAATATATTTGATGCAAATGTATGGTCTCTGATTGTCTATCTTCTTTAAGGTAAGTAAGCGCAAAAACCAAAGTGTTTCCTGAGTATTCCCATTAATTACTGCATCGTGCGGAGGCCGCGCCCACCCCAGCTCCAGCAATGCAAAAAAAAAGTTGCGATACATCGCGACACCTCACATGACATGGCGAGTTTGACACCCGTGACTTAGAATTATCACATTCATAAGTTCTAACTATGTTTGGAGGTAACTTTTGCTATAGTAAGTGTTAGTACATATTTTGAGATGTTTAGGCTACTTTATAAGCAATAATTCAATAACGCTACAATATAACTGCTTTCCCAATTTTAGGTGGTGCTGAAATTGAAAGAACAGTGTTTTCCCTGAAACTATTTAGAGACTTTGTGGCTGAGGTGAGATCTCTTGTCTTTGTGATTTATGAATTCTAACACGCGTGTCAATTTTATGTAGAACCAATAAGCTGTAGTAGCACAGCACTGTATTCTGGTGAGACCTGGATACAGTGTTCAGTTATGCCATTAAACTCACTGGATGATTTTGAGGCAGCAGAACAGTAAAAATACGATTTTGTTTTCCACTAAAATAGCAACATTGTGGCCAAGGCTGCCACATTGGTTTCCTTTGTCTCTTGATGTTCTATGATTTGTCCCATATAAATGAAGAATTCTGACCTGAATAAGGGGGAGAGTGTGGCATAAAAATCAGTAAGACCATCATAACTAATATTTGTGAGAATTATACAGAGAAAAAAATATTTTTCTAGGAGACTTTTAAATATACCATTCTGATGAATGTTGCAGATTTTTTGATTTTGTCTTACTCTTGTACTGTACAATGTAACATCAGAGAAGGATAAATCTAATTATGATGACGGCTATTACCAATCACAGTATGCTATGACTAATAAAAGTAGCAGCAAGATCTATCATGCTTCATTGCTCTGAAACTAGCAGGCAATTAGTGATAAACATTAATATTCTCATACTGCAAATAGAGTAGCCAGAATAGTTAATCTCTGTTAAAGTCAGAGGTTTTTCCTTAACAAACACCTGTCAAATAATGAAGGCCTATCAAGATGTTGTTGTCATTACCATAGAAGCCACACTAATATTGTATGTTGAACACTGCAGTAGAAAAGAAGGCTGTGTAATCAGAGTTAGAAGTATTTATGCAATGTTCTGTGTTTTAAAACTATAAACAATTGTACTTTTTGTTCTGAAACTTGTTTGTGTTTTGGTTAATATAGTCAGTTAATTTACTAAATTATGCAATCTAATTTTAAATTCTTGTCCAGTGGACAGAGGATTTATGACCATATTCTTTTCCATCTTGGTTATTTACAAGCTTACAGGAACTGAAATTGAACTTCAAGAAAATATGTCACATTGGTAACATATTTTTGAGGATTGATCATGAGAATAATAGTGGATCCTGATGCTTTTGGAGAAAACATTCCTCAGAGATAGATAACCTGGTCCCTTTCAGATGTTTTGGAATACAGCTGGTACCATTGGCTGTGTTTTCCTGAACCATGTGGAAGCTGTACATAAAACATCAGAATCCCCGTTGCTAATCAGTATTTCTAAATGGCTTCAGGACTGTGATTGTCAAGTAGCCCTGATCACCTTGACGAATGATATAGAATATGCCAGGAAAAGAATCAGTTGTAACAATGTTAGGTTTCTCTAGTTTTTTCATGACTTCTGATACCATAAACCATAATATACTTCTTGATCAGTTATGTGATCTAGACATTGGAAACAAGATAGATGGTGATTTTGTTTTTTCTTCTAGGATTTGGGACCTATGCAGTTTTGAAGCATTTATCTTGTAGAGACTCATATGTGTTTTTAACAGGGGTAGTAAGGTCGCCATAGTATTTGTAGTGAGGTCATTGGCAATCAGATAACATTTCATTATCTCTTTCTGTCTCTCAATTGAGATTGTATCAATGCTGCATTGATATCTGGATTTGATAATAGGTCTGTATAAAGATCACTAACTTGAAGTTGAGTTCCCAAATGATTATCCTTTTGATAAGTAGGTGGTCTACAAATTTGAGAATCAAATGTACAATTATATATGCTGTTATGAACTACAGTTCATTTCGAATGATACATGAAATATAATTTTGAAGGAATGGCAAATATGTAACTATCTTTTTGGGAATAGTCTAGAGAAAACAAAACCAGTAAGGCAGAGGAAATAAAAAGCAAAAGAGCCAGACAGTGGCAATTACAGTTGTACTCACAAGTTTACATACCCCTTGCAGAATTTGTGATTCAAATTAAACTATTAAGCATCACAGAATAACACAATCATTAAACCATAGCAATAAAAGAAATAAAGAAATGATCCTGTTCAAAGGTTTGCATGCCCTTGGTTCTTAATATTGCACCTTTGGCATCAATGAGAACTTGCAGTTTTTTGTGATAGTTGTAAATTGAACTCTCTATTTTCTCCTATGGTAAAGTTGTCCATCCTTCTTGACAAAACTCCTCCAGGTCCTATACTTTTGTTGTCTAGCTTGAATGAACAGCATGTTTGAGATCTCACCAAAGTTGTTGAGATCAAAAGACTGGGATGGCCATTCTAGAATCTTCTCTTTGTTTTGCTGCAGCCACTGAAGGGTGAACCTGACCTTATGTTTCAGATTATTGTCATATTGGAAAGCTCAAGTGTGTCCCGTGTGCATTTTCCAGGCTGATGAATGCAAATTTTTCTCCCATAATTTTCTGCTCTTCTGCATTCATCTTGCCATCGATTTTGACTAAATTTTCCATGCTACTGTACCTCACACACAGAGAGACACCCCAAAAAATAAACAGCAGAAATCCACCTCCATGCTTCATAGTAGGAATGATGTGCTCCTCTGCATAGGCTCTTTGATTCCTCTCCAAACAATATTTATACTTACAATCATAAGTTTGGTTTTGGTTTCATCACTTCAAATGATTTTGTTCTACTAATTTTGAAGCTTCTCTAGGTGCTGTCTGCCATATTGTGAGTGGGTTCTTTTGTGATATTGGTGAAGCAATCAGCAATGGCTTTTTTCTGGCAACTTTACCATGCGGCTCATTTTTGTTCAAGTATCTCCTTATTGTGCATGCTGAAACAGCCATACCACTTTCTTTAAAAGAAGCATGTATTTCAGTAGAAGTGGACAGTGGATTTTTTCTTTGCATCCCGACAAATTTTCCTGGCAGTTGTGTCTGACATCTTTCTTGGTATTAACAAAACCCCTAATTTTCCACTTCTTGATGAGAGCTTGAACTGTACTGATTGGTATTTTTAAACATTTGGATATCTTTGCATGTTCTTTTCCTTATGTATAAAGTTGAAACTATTTTCTTTCACAGCTCTTTTGACAGTTTTTATTTTACCCATGGTTCATTAAGCAGCAGTGCTGCTCTGGATGAATTGTACAAAGATTTTTCAAGAGCTAAGAACCTTAATGACTATTTATACATAGATGTTAAGTACAATCAAATAATGCACTACTTATCCTTCATTGCCTTCACAATCTTTGTGGGTCAATTATACCTATAAAATACTGTTTATTCACAAAACTGCTCACTGTTCAGTGTGATCAATCAGAAGTGACATTGCAGGAGGTTTAAAAGTTCATGCTGAAGAACTTGTTAATTTAAAAAAAAATCCTTGATCAAAAGGCAAAGTTCTAGTGACAGAAAATTGGCTGTGCTTTTTATTTTGCCTTTAATCCCATAAAACCTCCCCTAGTTCTCTTGGAACCCTAAAGTTTCATGGAATACATTTTGAAAAATTCTGCCCTTTTCACTTTGTTAGGAATAGAGAAAATGACTGCAAAAGAATACTTGCACCCACATTGAATATCAGAAATATCCAGTCAGGAGAGTATTTCAACTCCTCAAATGCTTTGTCACTGTCTTCAATATTTATCCTTGAGAATAAATGAATCATAAAGGTAAAATTCATTGTAAAAAGATGAGCTAAAAGTCACAAAGAGATTTATACTACTTTTCAGGAATATACCAATCACCCCTTCAAAATATATATGTCAAAACCAGCAATTATTTTTTGAGTGGTCACTATCTGCAAATATTTGTTACTGTTTTCCCTCAGTACAGTAGTAAAATACAGTACGACTTTAGTTCTCATCTGTGTTTTTAGTATTCCCTTAAAAATAATAAATATATATATTATTGTGAGATGATAATGTAACTGATGAAGTAGATTGTGGTCCATAGAAATCTATTATATGGTAATGGTTAGTTTTCTGGTAGCAAGAGAATTTTTGCTGCTCTGGACAAGTTTGTACAACCCCCAAAAGAGCAGGAATGTGATATGGATCCAAGATGGAGTTAGTAGCACCTAACCCTATCAGCCTCAGAAGTTTGGAATTCTTGCAAAGCAGAACTGGAAAAGATGCAGAGAGAAATAGAAAATTCTTTTCATAAGCAATATTTATTTATTTGTATCCAGAATTATTTATAAATCTTTACAGCTTAATATCAGAACTTGAAATTAATCCAACACAGAATTCTAGCATAAGAGTACTACTTGACATTAAGTCTAATAATAGATTAAAACTGAGTAAAATACGCTTTTCAATAAATCTAAAATAGAATAAATTAGAACTAAATGCAATAGTATAGACCTCAAAATGACTAGAAGAAACACTTTTCAGAACACACTTTCAGTCACTAATAGATGAGAACAATCGCAGTTTAATTTTTTCTATGTTTGTAAAATGTTTGTGAAAATAGAGATAATATGCAGTAAACTTTAAAATTAGCAGGCCAAAGATAAAGGAAGAAATGTCTATTAAAACAGAATGAAAATTAATGTGCAAAAGCATATACAGATAGTCCTCGATTTAAAATTATTAGTTTAGTGACTGAAGTTATAACAGCACTGGAAAAAGCGACTTATGACCATTTTTCACGCTTATGACTGTTGCAGCATCCCTATGATCGTGTGATCAAAATTTAGACACTTGGCAACTGATTCCTATTTATGATGGTTGCAGTGTCACAGGGTCATATGCAACCTTCTGACAAGAAAGTCAAGATTCACTTAACAGCCATGTTACTAACTTAACAACTGCATTGATTCACTTAACAATTGTGGCAAGGAAGGTTGTAAAATGGAGCAAAACTCACTTAACAACTGTCTCATTTAGCAATAGAAATTTTGGGCTCAGTTGTGGCTGTAAGTCGAGGATTACCTCTATATGGAACAATTGTATCCTTTACATAAATATCTACTAACCTGAGATCTATTTTATACACATGACTCTGGTTACTGGTGATACAAATCTCCTGTAGAAATGATCTGCTTAAAGGATTCTGATCTAATACTCATGAGATTTGAATAGTTTCCTGAATGAGCTCTGAGTGTTTGCTGTCTT